TTTAAATTAGAAATTAATTAATTCGTTATTATAAATATTTAATTTTGCAATTTATTATTAGGAATACTATGACAAATTCAATCGTAATGTATAATATTATGTAATTTATAATTATATTACATTATTTCAACAATCAATAATTGTGTCTAAAAGTAACAAAACATTTAGTACTCAATATTGACATGAAGTACTAAACAAATTAGTGTCTAATATTGATTTGGTAATTGCCATATTTCAATACTCGTGTGGGATTCAAGTGAAGTGTATGTAAATTATTGTTCAAGTGTTGAACTCATTAAAACATTTCCTAATATATTGTTTTAGTTTTATATAGAATTTTAAAAATTGATACCAGATTTTATTATATTTCTAGATAAATACTGTAATTATGTCAATTATTTAGAATTTAATAAATAAATAAAGTTTTGTGAGAGAAATTGTTAAAATAAGTTTATAATAAAGTCAAATAAGAAGCAAGGGAGATATTGATAATTAAAATACTCATTCATTTGCATTATATTTAATTGTAAGAAAATTTAAATTCTTTTCGTTTTTACTAAAATATACTTAGTAAGGTAACAATCATTTAGTAAAACAAAAAGGTATAATACCGTACAGGAAACTTGATAGAGTAATTTTTATAATATAACTTGATATAACTGTACTAGGTATATTTAGTTTTTACTAAAATATACTTAGTAAGGTAACAATCATTTAGTAAAACAAAAAGGTATAATACCGTACAGGAAACTTGATAGAGTAATTTTTATAATATAACTTGATATAACTGTACTAGGTATATTTACAATTGTGCGAAATAAACAAAATCCATGAAATAAAAAATATTTACTGGTAAACAAAATAAAATATCGATTCAATCCTTTAGCTCACATTCAAAGCCAATACTGTACACGCTTTCAGAATAATCCGAAACATTTAACAAAATCCTATATTATTTTTATATAACACGTATGTATTTGAAAATGAAATATATTTTTCTAACAAATATAAGAATTAGTTCAACATTACATTTGATTTTGAAATGATTTCACAAACAACTTTATAATTTGAGCTCAGATTGTAAGTATATTTATTTCTGATAAAAATTTATTTGCTAAAATGTATTAATTTTTAAAACTTATTTTAAGCAATATAAACAATATAACCTAATTCACTTTTCGTAATAGAAAATTGATAAAATTTAAATAAATAATATAAATAATGCTAATTCACAGATGATATTTCTAAATAACATAAATCGTAGAATATTTTCAATGAATTTATAGTCCAAATAATATCTATAATTTTTCATATATAAATAACTCAAATTTAAGAATCAAATGAAATAGTAAAAATGTCCTCAAATTGTTTATTAGCAATGAATTCAAGCAAAACTGTTGATTACCTCCCGGTGTATAAGTTCTTGGAATCAATGATGAATTAGTGACCACTCTATCATTGATCTACTTTTAAATTTTTGAATAGCTAATTGAATGTGAAGTTTAATTTATTTATTAAATAAGTTCAATGATATATTATAAGTTGTAAGATTGAATTGAAGTTTATGTAAATTGAGTTATAAGCATGTATTTTGATGGGATGTCATACTGTTTCTTAGTTTGATATAACACGATAAATGCATTTAATGTGTTGTACGGCAATGACACTCATTCTCACAACTATTTATACAAAACATGAATTTATTGTTATTAAATTGTCACAAAAAGTATGAGACAGTAATCATGATAAATTATAACATTAATATTTCCAATTTAAAAGTTTAATATAAACTTTAAGGAATTTTGCTACTTTGTATCTTAAGTGCATTTCTTTAATTTTTAAAATTATATATTAATATTATATTAATATGTATATACTAAACATGATTAAGTAAAGTCGTGTATATCTAATTTTCTAATAAATAAGTTAAAGGATTTTAAATAAAACTTCTTTGAGTTAAAACTGAAATTACAATAAAATTTTGTTTTATAATAGTCAATTTAGTTTTAAATTTATTTTTTATATATTAACAATATTTACTTTATTTGAACTTTTTTCTATACAAATAAAATAAAATTCAAAATACACTTTACAAAATTTTATTATAAGATATTATATTAGTTTTACTAATAATATAGTAATATAGTATATAAAGATGGATATTTATTATTATTATATTAATTATGTGTAAATATAACAAAAATATAAAATAGAAATATTAATATGTCGGGGTAACAGATATTTGCATATAGGAAACTTTATAAAAATAATTCCTTTTAAATATACTCCAGTGTTATAGATATAAACACAATTCAAATTTAAATATTAAATAATATAATAAAATACAATAGAGAATAATGTATACTAGATAATATTTCTTAGTAAAGACGCAAACAATAAATCTTTTAGTGAAAGTTTTGATAAACAAATATTCAAATTAATTAAAATATATAAGAATAGTGTTTTCAAGATTTACGAGTGAATGGCAAGCAATTATGAATTTTGAATAACAATTAAAATACTAAAAAAGCTTTTGTATAATGTGTTGAAATGATGTGTAGATGAGAGGATTGTAAAGATTGAGAGCACAGTGTGTATGTCGGGCGTCATAGGAGAGGTGGCCAAACCCTGGTTAACGCAACGCCTCCACTCTGTATCTCTCATATAAGCCGTGGCGCACATCCACTCTCGGACTAAGTTTACGATAAACTCCATACAAACGCTCCGCAACTCCATTACATAAACTCTCTTTTCTTTCCATTCACTCTACTATTCATTCATTTGTTTTAATTCATAGTTTTTTCTTTAAATTATATTTAAAACTTTTAATTGTTTTTTAAACATAAGTTATTTTAAAATGAAATTTAGATATAATTTAATTGTTGCTTCAATACTAATCACTACAACAGCACTCAATGGATGTTTAGCACTGGCAGAAGTGGTAAGAATTTTATATTGTTTTATCATTTTATTCAATGCACTATTTATTTATTATGGGCTTTATTATGCTGTTAATTAGGGGTTGAAAGTATCAAGCAAATTTATTTATATACAGTACATATTTATTTATAATGATATTTATAATACTATTTATTTAGCTATTTTTACATACATTATTTTAATAAGTTTTTTATGTAAAGAACTTAAGATCTTATGTTTATTTATTTTAATTTGACACTTAATTCAAATTAGAATAATTTCAATATAATATTAAGTATATTTGAATTTGTAAAATTAGTGGTAAAATATGATTGATCTGAAGTATATCAGCCTCTAATATTTTATATATTACTGTTATATATAGTATATTTAAATGTAATATAGAAGATTATAAAAATTATTTATCAAATTATGGCACAAATATGCACAATGTCAATAAATATAAAAATGATACATTGTTTAGATTAGTTCCACACCTATTGTACAAAATATTTATCTTAAGTGAAGCAAACAATAAAGAAACTCAAAGAAGTTTGCTTTTAAAAGTTAGTTTTCAAATAATGTTCAAAGACATGATAATTTAGTTTGGTTTGGATTGCATGAACAACTTTACAGTACTGTATGCTATTCTTCTGTAATAGTAAATTTCGTAAAATTGATTTTATTGTGGTAAATATTAGGGTAAATGTCACTACAATAACAATCTTGAAAACTAATTGAGTATGACTAGCGATTCAATCTTGAGATAATATTTATAGTTCTGCTTTTTATCATTAAATACAGCACCAAATCAGTCATAATGCACTCCAATCTAAACTAAATCTTCTGATTTATATCACAAAAAATTCAATAATATTTATATTCAAGTACAGTAAGATTTTCCTATAATATTAAAATACTAATTCATTCAATGTCTAAATCATCTGTTTTATTATTTGATGATTTTTATTCGGAATTAAAGAAAACTAAATTGTATTTTTAATTTAAATAATTTGACAACATTTTAATGAAAGAACTAATTCTTGTGAAAGGAAATGAAAAAATCAATTCAAGTGTTTCACACTTACCTTTAATTATTACTTATAAAACTCATTCAACAAATAGTAAAAATATTTTTTTGAAAATGCAATTATTTTTTCATTTATAATTGCTTTCTCGTTATACTATTTATACAAAAACCAAATGATTATAGTTTGTGACAAAATTATTAAATAAGTTGATACTGAATATAGATTTGAATAACTTTTCATAAAAAAACACTCAATAGGTAATAGCAAAGCATATAAAAATATGTGAATAATAGCTAAATAACTTAATCAGAATCTTGGGTCAAAGTATATACTGTATTTAGAAATGGCTTTTATCCCATAATTTGTAAAATAAATTTAAATGCTTTGTTGAGTATAAATAAAAATTTGTATGAAATAAAAATTAGGAAATACTTAATTCAGTGTATTCTGTGATGAAAATTGTAAGATTGAGTGGGGTTTACAAATGTATGTATTATTATATTCTTGTAAAATATAGTAAGACATGTCACTCACTCACTCTTAAAGGCCTAAAGTGATAAATCTATAATAAAAACCTTTTTTTTATTTGAAAAATTTGATAAAAACTTGATTTTTGAAACAAACCCTATAGTTTTCTATTCACTTGTTTATACAATTGATTCTAACTTTAAAAGCAAATAATAAAAAGTGAATTCATTTGTTAATCAAAGTTTTGTTTTAAAAAATTGTTTACTCATTTCATGTCTTTTAAAACTTTTACATACGAATGAAATAATTTTTAAAAATTATTGAACTGAATATAGTGGAAAAAATGAAATACTTTTATCGACTAACATGTAAGTCAAACTAAATCTTTATTGAATTGAAAAATCACAATTTTGTTTGCATTTTGACAAATATAATACATTAAATCCGAAATATTTATCAAAATTTTAAAACATATTTTTCTCAACTGTTATATCGACTGAAGATTTATATTAAATTATAAACCTTTAGTGATTTATATAACTACAGTATTTCATACTAAAGTGTTAAAATTACATTCAATAAATTATATAAAAATAGTATTTTACTTAATTTATTATTAAATTATTTAAAATATTTAAAGCATACAAGTCCATTTTCTTATTTTCTCTATCAAAATAAGAAAGTGTTTATATTTAAAATTGGAAAACACAATTTTAAATATGAAAACAAAGTTTAAATTATGTGCTAAAGCCCTGGGGCTATTTTTATAGAATCTCAATTTTTTGTATGTTAAAACAATTTATCTAAAATGCTATAAAAAGAATTGTTTTAATTTACATTTAATGAATTTTAAATTCAATCAAGTTTAATAACACTATTATTTTGATCTGATTATCAAAATAAATTTGAAAATTTGTAATTATTTTACTTGTATTTGTAATTAAAAGCAAGTTTGTTTTAAGTTTAAAGCTTAATATTAAATTTAAAATTGAATTATTTCAACAATTTCTACTAAAACTTTTATTAAAATAACAGATTAACGAATTTAATATAAAATATTGAAATGTTAAGTGTGCGTTAATATTGTAATAAGAATAATTATTTGAATATTTTGGTTTCACAGAATCATTAATTTTTCAGAATTCAATTCATTATAATTGTGTGAAAAACAAACTGTTGAGTTTGAACAACTATTAAAATGTGAATATTGTGAAAATTCAATTATTAAAGTATTGAACGTGTCTTTCGTTCAATATTTCTTTGAGCGATATTTTTATCCCAAAACTATACAAACTATTTTTCATAAGTGTTTATACAATGAGGTTATAAAAGAAGTGTTTATGTATTGTTTGCAAGGAATTGAATATAAAAAGATTGATTGCATTATAAATCCTCATAAAGAATTGAGTTTCAATTTATTTCACATGCTAGTATTGTATAATAATATTTTACAGGTACATATTGTAATTTATACATACGATAAACAGTATATTCAAAATGTTTAATAAATTGTTATCACATTATATTTTGAACTTATTTGTTAAATAATAATAATAATATTTTTAAAAATTCTAATAATAATATATTGAATTGAATTTTACTTGAATAAGTATATTAATTATAATAATTTTTAGATAACAATATTGCAATTGCAATAATAATAATACTATATTGCATAATGCAATTGTATGTTTTACCGTAAATAAAAACCTAATATATTCAAGTTTAATAATTATCTTTAATTACTATTGTCTTTTAAATACTCATTATCATTATATTTTTACAAGTTAAATATTAATAAAATCAATAATGATTAATAGTATAAATTTAATACTATGATTTGAAACTTATTTTCTGATTATTTAAAATTGATTATGATTTTAGTAAACGAATAGTAATAATTGAGAATATGTATGTCAGTTAAGTTATAGGCCTAACAATGAACGGTAATAATCGTTAGATTCTTTAGCTATCTATGAAAATACAATATTATTCATGTCATATATTGTACATTTGGAGATATAATTAATATTCTTTTCACTTGATAAATGAAATATAGAATTCAATTATTGATATTCAAATAATTTTTCAAAGGAAAAACGAATATAGAGTGAAAATAGTTTATAATCGTTTTATATTACCAATTAAAAAATAATATATTAAATGCACTTTTTATGCTCATTTCTAAATTAATTTTGAATGCTCTTATTTTAAAATATTTGAAATAAATAATTGAGTTATCTAAGATTTAGAAAATAATTTTATTAATTTTAACAATTGTTTAAAATTAGGTAAGATTACTGTTGTGTTTAATATTTTTGATTTGTTTGGATTATCATAGTATATATTTAGATGAACGTTTATTTAAAATGTAAGCTATATTATCTTTGTAATTTCCATGTATGCAACAATTTTATTCATAAATTTGTTTATAAAATACGAAAATTTAAGGTTTTCTAAATGATCTAAAAATCAATTGCTTTTCACACGATCCTCTAATATTATAGTATAGTATAAAATGTTACTATAAATTGAATTTTACCGGTAATGTGATTTTGAGAATTTATATCCAATTCGTTACATATATCAAAAAATTATATTATTCATATCATTTAAACTCAATTATCAATTCATTAGCATTTTTCATATACATGTAACGTTATTTAAAAGTAATTCAGTAATACAGTGCCAGAAAGTTAAAAAACAGTTTTATATGTGACATATTCTTAATCTATATTTATGTTGTATTTATAACGACATGAACACAATAAAACTTGTATTAAATCTAAATCGCTTCATCTAAGGTTATTAGCAACTTTGACTTACAATGATACACGTGTCTGTTTTTATTATACGTTTTTTGGAATAAAAATCTAAAAACTAAAATAGAAATGGGTTACAAGTTTACAATTTATAAAACGAGGCAAACTAAATTGATGTGCAATACAAAAAATATATGCTTAGTCAATTTCTTAAATGAGAATATGTCTTTAATTTAAAATATTATAAATCATATTTTCGTGACTCATATAAAGTTATTTAATTTTCTATCAATGTTTAGAAATAGCTGAACAATAAACTAAATAATATTATAATGAATATAACTTTAAAATGTGTGTCCAGTATGACAGTGATAATGGATGGAGAAGTGGTGAGAGTCCAGTGGACATGAATGCGATGACAGGCGCCGATCTGATCAGGAAATTAATTGAAACGCCGGCACTCAATAGGATAAGTGGTTCGCAAGTCTTGCGATCTCTTGATCCGTTAAGTGGAGGGCTTTTATCGAAAACCCTCAACAGAATCGCTGGTAAATAATATTGATATATAGAAACATGTAATAAATATTTGAGGAAAACATTTATTTATCGCTTTAATTACTTTTATTTGGACTCAAAGACGAGAATCTAAAGCATTCAATAGAGAAGATTTCAGGGACACAACTGTTGAGGTATTCATATTAATGTTTCTTTAATTAAATATCAAACACACTATATTTGACACAATTATAGGGCACTAAACAGTGTAAGTGGTGGACGTGTTTTCATTTCATTGGAAGGCATTAGCGGTGAAGAGGTGTTAAATGCTCTGCAAAATGGGAGTCTTAGTCCCAAATATCTCAGATTTTCTTTGGATAGACCCAAGAGAACAAGTCTCGACACCATGAGTGGTGTTTCCATAGGATCAGCCAAAAAGCGGAGGTATACTCTTAAGTGGCGTTTTGATTATTATATCAAATTAAATGTAATTTTAACAAGAATAATATACAGAATAATTAGTTTCTTTGAATAAACACTTGAAATTTCTCGTGATTATGAAATCGTGATAAACTGTATGTTTCTCCGTATGAATAGTTTGGATGCGATGAACGGCATAGCACTGGGAGAGCCATCAAAACGGAATTTCGATGAAATAGATAACACGGGCTTCAGAGGGTTTGCGAAACGGAATTTCGATGAAATAGACAGATCCGGGTTCGGGGGCTTCGTCAAGAGAAACTTCGATGAAATCGATAGATCCGGTTTCGGGGGCTTACATAAGAAGAACTTCGATGAGATCGATAGGTCGGCCTTCAATGGATTCAATAAACGAAATTTCGACGAAATCGACAGATCAGGGTTCGGCGGTTTCGTCAAAAAGCGTGAAATACAAAGCGACAAATCGGTCAAAGTGTCCGACAATTTGAATAAATCATAAGTGAAATTTAAATTTAAATTATCAATACATATGAACCACAAATTGTTAACTTTTTATTATAAGTCATACATATATATAAGAATGCGGTAAATATTTGGTGTTATATTTCGATTGCATTTTAATTTATAATTTCCTTTTCACAAATGAATTAAATTTTATGTAAATTCTCATTATTTAATAATAATTTATCCAAAAAATGAATTTAAAACCACATTTTGACTAATTATTTATTAATTATCGCTGTCTAGTCGTCAATAAATTGGTTTATTAGTTGTTACTGTATGTTATGATGGAAACGCTAAGCAATGGAGTCTATGGCCACAAGAATTTGTATATAAATGCACTAAATTAAGCTTGATTGAATTAAAAATCCATTTTTATAACAAAGTAGTTAATTTAATTGAGATCAAAAACTGTTTTGTTATTCAAAATTTAAATTTTATCGTTTATTAATTTTATAAAATCACAATATCTAACACAAATTATAAAATTCAATATTAATAGAAATAAAATATGTATTAAATATTAAGTTGAATTATTAAATCAAATGACAATTGGTAAAAATAATTTTGATTGATGACTAAAAATCGCAGTTAAATCAATAACAATAAATGTTTTTATTTTATTAAATAAATTACAAACAAATTACTGGACAATAAATATAAACCATTAAAATATACATTATTCCGTAAATTCATTATAAATTCTCGTTTCAAAGAATTCAAACTTTATAGAAAACAATGATATGTTTTACACAAAAATTTATGCCATAAATACATACTTATTTAATTAAATAATACGGTATATAGAAATATTTATATTCATAAACACTCAAGCTATGTATGATAAGTACAGTACTTATTTTCAAATTGAAGATTCTGCCTCTAACAAGTAAGTTTACTGATATTTGCATTGTACTCAAGTATAAAATAGTAAAATTTATGATTTAAAAAACAACTTATTTTAGATGACACAATTGTGGGTGTTTAAAACATAAAATTAACATATAATCTAAATCATTTTGTAAAACTTAATTAATTTGAAGGACTGTATTTACAAAGTATCACATTTTAAGGGTTTCAAAACGTGTACATTCTTGTGAAGAAAAAAGGATAAAACCTTTAATAAACTTAACAATTTAAATAATTTCAACATCAATTCATATGAACAATTTATCATTACGGTACATTCATTTACTTTAGATTGTCTAATAAAATAATAACTATATTAGAGCTATGTATGAATGAGATCTAATTGAATGATGTGTTAAAAGTGATGCAAAGACTAAATTAAATACTCTTATTAATGAAGTCAAAGACAGTGAATATAGACAGTCATATACAACAGATGAATACCGCCTTTGATAATAAGGTTTATCCTGACAACACTTACGTTTACTGTTTCTATACAGTCTTTCTTTACCACCACTTATAAGATACTTATATTTTGAGACAATTCATGTAAATATTGGAGGAGTAGTTAGATTTGCAACTTGTATTCCATCACATCAATGATATGCGGCACTAGTATTCACTGAATTAACACAAAAATGACTTTTTTAAAGGATTAGTACTTCAAAGACTATGAGAAGGACCGGAAACGTGGAAAGTGAATGTTTTACGCCGGAATGTGTCAAAACTGGTAAATATTGAATTTTATCCATTTGATAATAATACCGTATAAAACTTATCACAACATTAAAACTAAACCAGTACAATTTTACTAAAAACCCATGAATTTAATGAACAACAAAAAAAAGAAAAGAATCTTTTGTGCAAATAGTTGTGATAATAAATGATAATATGTTTGGGAATTTGGTATCTCAAGTAAACTAAACTAATATAATATAATTACGAAAAACAGCCGCATCTCTAGTGAATGCCATGGATTTGAGTGCCGATCCGTGCGAAGACTTTTTTCAGTTTGCTTGTGGCACTTGGAATAAGAAACATATTATCCCTGAAGACAGATCCTCTATAAGCACTTTTGAAGTACTCGCAGATAATCTTCAAATTCTTCTCAAAGGTTTTCTTTGATTTCCTAATTTTGTAACCAAAAAATTCTTAACATAAAGACAAATACTGCTGAAGCAATTTGAGCAAAACAATTTTAATTAAAACAAATAATTCATTTGCAGATCTTTTGGAGCAACAGCCAAACAGTTATGACAACAGCCGATGGTAATTTCGTTTTTAAAAGATGTTTAGAACATACTTATGTTCATACTTTAGTAACATATTAACATTTATACCCATTCTTAATCCTAAAGATACTTACTTAAATATCCTTTCTAACTCCTATACGGTGATCAGCCCTTACGCGATGTAATTAAAGAGTTGGGCGGTTGGCCAGTACTCAACCAGAAGTGGTTGACTCCTAAACATAAACTCGAAGTCCTGTTGGGAAATTTGAGAGGAGAGTACAATCAGGGACTTATTGTGGAGCAATGGGTTGGACCCGACGATCGCAATTCTTCAGTTAATATAATACAAGTTAGTCCTTGCTACTTCTCTCATACATTTTTTGTGTCAAATATTTAGAGAATGTAATGATTAAAATGTTTATACTTGACACCTTAGTTGGATCAAATGTCTTTAGGTCTTCCCAGTAGAGACTACTTTCTGAAGGAGACGAGCCTCAGGGAAAGGGAGGCCTATTTGAAGCTTATGGTGGAAATTGCAGTTCTGTTGGGCGCTAACAAGTCATATGCTTTCCAAGAAATGTCAAAAGTATTAGACTTTGAGACCCAACTCGCAAATGTGTGTTCTTTTAATTAATATTCAATTATTTCCATTATTTGATATCAATTTAAATTGTTTTTAGGTATCAATGCCTGAGGCGGACAGACACGACACGGGAGCCATATATAAGAAGCTGACGCTCAGAGAACTCAAGTCATTGATACCAGAATTTGATTGGATTCTGTATTTGAATACTCTTTTGCCGACCCCTGTCTTTACAGACGAAGAAATAGTCATTTACTCCATTGAATACTTTCAAGAGATGGGAAAAATTATAGCCAGACATGACTCTAAAGTTATTCACAATTACGTGATCTGGAGATTCGTGAAATACATTCTTCCATATCTTGACGGAGAATATGCGGTCGTTAGGACTGAATTCAAGAAGATTTTACTCGGTTTGAAACGATGGCATAATTATTGTTTGTAATATATTTTGGCAAAATGTATACTAATTAGGAATATCCGCGGATCGGATCCGTTGGAACCAATGCGTCGAATTAGTGAATAAGAAGATGGGAATGGCTGTCGGGGCCCTCTTTATTAGAGACAACTTTGATCCCAAAAGCAAAGAAACCGCTCTCGAGATGATTCACAACATAAGGAATGCTTTCAATGAACTCTTGACTCTTAATGAATGGATGGATGAGCTGACAATACAGGTTTTCAATTGTTGTCAACTTTATGTATTCACATAACCAGTTGTATAGAATATTCTTGTATTCTTGTGGCAGGTGGCAAGGGAAAAGGCAAATTCAATCAACGAGAGAATCGGTTACCCGGACCTCCTAACAAACCCAATTGAACTCTCTAAAGAATACCAATTAGTATGAAATCTAATGCTAATTTCAGTTAAAAGCACTTTAGTTTGTAAAAATACTTTTGAGAGTTTCTGAGCACTTTCTATTAGAATATATAATTTGATTTATTTATAATAAATGACTTATAATTTGACATTTTTACAATTTGTTTGCTATTGCAAAATATATATATTTATGAGACAATTATTTAATGGAAATGAATATTAAATTATTAAAAGTTAATAAATATTTAATTCGTTTAGTTGACAGTATTTGAAGACCAGTTTTTGCAGAGCATATTAGGAGTACTGAAATACGAGTCGGCAAAGAATCTCTTGAAATTGCGTCAACCCGTCAACAAAGACCGCTGGACTACAGAGCCGGCGGTTGTCAACGCTTTCTACAATCCAAACAAAAACGATATCGTATTTCCGGCCGGAATTTTACAGCCGCTCTTCTATTCCCAACACTTCCCGAAGTAATTGATTAACAATTTATTCACAAATTTTAATCACTCTTTTTAATGAAATTAAACTTTTTGAGAGAAAATAATTTTATTTAATTTGTTCTTGTTTTTATTTGTTAAACAGATCTTTAAATTATGGGGGAATAGGAGTCGTGAGTATATGAGTTTTGATTACTGTTTACTTTTCAAGCATTTGAGAATTTTACAGATAAAAAGTCAATAAATTCTGTAACTTCTGTATTCAATAAGTGTCTCAACATTTATTTAGAAACATATTTAAGTAATAATTTTAATGATACTGTTTTGAATGCTTTTCATTTTTTATTATAAAATATTTAAAGTGAATTTTATTAAGATTACTATAAAAATTGACTATAAAATTATAACTATTTATTTTAACATAAGGTTAACTAGAATTACATTCTAAGAGTAAGAATTGTTTTTGATTTTTTAACGAATATTATTTTAGATAACTTACGAATATTAATTATAATTTAACTTCTATTTCATCCAATATTTAATTATTTAGGTAATTGGACACGAAATAACTCACGGGTAAAAAGTGAATAAAAATGATATATGTATGAAATGATTACATAAATTGTTTGATAAAATAGTTTCGACGATAAGGGCCGACAATTCGATAGGGAGGGGAACCTAAAGCAGTGGTGGAATAACGCCACTATCAAGCGGTTCAGACAGAGGGCTCAGTGTATTATAGACCAGTACTCCAGTTATGTTCTCGAAGACATCAGGATGAATGTGAACGGAAAGATGACTCAGGGTAGGCATACTGTGCACCCTTTCATACATCCATTTCCATTCAAAAACTAAACATTTGTATTTGCAATTTTAGGTGAGAATATCGCCGATAACGGTGGTCTCAAACAGGCCTACCGAGTGAGTCTAATTAGTTTGATGTAACTTTGACAGTACTATGAATGAATACTTATTCGTTAGTTAGTAATATAAATATTTTAAAAATTTCTTATTTTATTTAAAGTGATTTCTTATTTTTATAATTTAAAGCATATGAATATAAAAAATATTTTTGCTGACAATAAGGCATTCAAGAGGTGGGAAAAGCAGAATGGAGTCGAACCAAGACTTCCAGGCATTCACTTAACACACGATCAGCTATTCTTCTTGAATTACGCTCAGGTTTACTCAAT